AATGCCAATTGGATTTGCAGGGACTTTAAGCTAAAATACTTCTGGAACCAAAGCAGTTTTAGAAAGTCAGAGCCCCATTTGAGCAGTGATATATCTGAGTCTGCGCTTGAGCTGTGTTTTGACAAAAGCATCTCTGGCACCTCTGTGTTCATGGTATTGGTACAGAATCTGAAACCTGTGTAATCTGACCATAGATAATGAGAAGATAGCTATTTTGACATTTTTTTTTGTAGTTTGGTTCACGTTGCTCCTTTAAAGGTACATTTTTCTCACCGTATAAACGTACTAGGAAATTTATTCTGACCTAGTAACGTTTATCTAAATTACTAGGATGAGAGCACAGTTGAACGTAATTCGTGCTTTTTTCTTCTCCTGCTGCTAGTAAGAACAACGCGATGTCAAGCTTATGATAGAAATAGCTGTCTTATTTCATGAAATGAGTGCTTAAAGTATTTCCTAGTATCTTCTTTTATGTTTTGATTGTTAAGGTAACTTTTATGGAAGCTTTTCTTTAATTTTCAGTTCTTTGAGTATTTCTTAATGCACTTGAGCGAATTTTACTTAACAAAGTATGTTCTTTTGTGACTAGTGTTATCTCCCAACTCTGCTGCTGTAGCTGGCCATGTAGAGCTTCCTAAGCCTGTTGCTGTTGCCTGTTGTCATATAGCAAATGAACCATGGGTGCCGTGGAGTATTCTAGCAGCTGGTGTTTGACACATATGTACTGCTCCTCAGGTATGATCAAAAAGGAGATTCAAGCAAGCATTGCTATTTTGCTAACTGATGTTTTGACCATCGGAAGTGTCAGATTAGACTTTGGAGACAATTTGAGGACTTTAAATAAGTGAAGCCCTGGTGAAATATTTATCGTGCTTTCTCTGAAAAGAAGCCCGGAAAGAAGTCACAAGAACTTTTGTATCTGAAATAAGGTTCAGGCTTTTAAAGTGAATTCTTCAAACCTCAATAGGCAGTAGAAATACTTTCTTTAATCCACAAAGAACATTTTTATAGTATTAAGCAATTACAGGCTTTCTGAAGTCTTAAACAGATGAAGTAGATGGACAGCAAAAGTCCGAGATCTGTGTTTTCTGAACTGATTGGGCTAAGTTCTTAATATGGTAGGATTCTACAAGTGGAGTTTGAAAAGCTGGTTTGTCTTTTTGTAAAAACACTAAAGTAGATTTGTAGTACAGACTGTAAAACTACTGTGGAAGTTGGAAGTATGTTTCTGAAACTCAAATTGTTTCAAAGGCTCATCTCCCCACCGTCACATGTGGTAAGTGTTTGTCACCATCCCACAAACCACTTCTGTCACACAATGAATAAGCAGAATTAAACTTGAGCTTTTCTAATGAGAATGGAACTTAAGGCCTTGTGAATGTAGTTCTTTTAAGTATGATGAATCATCAATATAGACTTTCTTTTTGACCATTTTGTTCTTAAAAGAATATGTAAATGAAGATTTTTGTGGTACCAGAATAGCGGTTCCAGTGAATATGCAAGTGTCACGGAAGCATCCACTGTTATCTGCAGAGGCACCAGGCTGGATCTTTTAATGTCCCCGCTGTTGGTGTCCGAGTAGCATCTGGGAAGCAATTTGGCAGTTTGCTGACTTAACCCAAATGAGTGCTGCTTTGTACTGTAGACAGTTGTTTATTATGAATTAGCATGAAACTGGACTGTGACGGATCTTACTGGCTATCTTGTCATTAGCTTACCACAGTCTGAACAAAATTCTTTCTTCTTCTGCCCTGTCATTACCCCCATTCTGCTATTGAGTACATTCTTCTCCTTTTGGTCACTCTAGGCTGTAACCTAGGAAGCACTGAATTTCTTGCATCCTACAGCAGGCTTTGTGTGCACATTGCAGTAGTTTTCTGCAGAAATTTTCTGTTGGGTGTAAGGAGAAATCTTCTGCTGAATCTGGCACTTTTCCATTCCTGTGGCAGTCCATTCAAAGCTCAGTTTTTAGAATTTTTCCTTGCTTTTTAGTCAATTCTTTCTCTGCCAAAGAGCGAAGTATATGCTATTCTATGTAGCAGATACTACTACAAATCATAAAGAGTACTACTTACTCTTTTTGATTGCTCTCAAGACTGTACTTCTATTACCCATGTCACAGAACAGCTGACAAGCATGCATTAAAACATGGATCCTGAAGTACTTCAGGAACAGATGTGTGTTAAAATCAACCTGTATTTCATTTCCAGTTTTTGCCTTGGAGCTGAGCTGTGCTAATCGTACTTTACAGTCTGTTTAGCAGATTGTACAGCTATTGAATCATGCAGGGGAGAAGGCTATACTGAATTCTCATAGCATCACTTTCTAGAAAATGGAAGTTGGTACTAGTCACTCCAGCCTTTTTGGCTTACAATAGGTCCAAGCTGTACCTGTGAAAGTGTTTTTTCTTGCATGCCTTTAAAATGAGCTAAAGCAAAAAGGAGCATCTTCCTAGGATGCTTTTTGGTACCTGACCTCTTTCCTATGTCACTTCCTGAACTGTATCCTTTCTCATGCAAAATAACTTCTGCTTCTAGTCATGGTTTTTAGAGGTGTTTTTTTGTCTAAGCTTCTTTCTGTCACTTTTTCTAAGCAGAGTCATGGCATTTGCCCCATAAAAATCAGTAAGATGGACAAAAAAAACCCCAAACCTCACAACCAGATTGAGATGTGGAACAATATACGAAAGCATATTAGTGGCTGTGCTTGGAAAGTGTCACTGTTTCTCTTTGCTGCCTTCCCCCCTCCCCCCTGAATTAGAGGCTTATAGCCTGTTTCAAACTATTTCTCAGTCTTGCAATTCTTAGCTGATATAGCTAAATTATGTGTATTTATTTTGCTATTTCTAGACTCCTGATTGTGTCCAGTCTTAGCACAGACAGTATTTTTTATTTTGACACAGGTAAGGGCAGTGTTGCATAGGACAATTCGTCTCCCATATGCAGTGGTATTCTTTGTTGGTACCATGTTACAAACCAGGTTTCTTTGCCTACTATGTATACAGGTTATGTTGTGAATTTGGTTTTAGTGTTGCAAAGATGAGCGTAAGCTGTGTGGATGCTTCCTATAACTCTTTAAATCTATCTTCAAGAATTGAATCTTCCTATTCTTCACTGTAGCAGTGTTTTCAGGTAATATATTTAGCACTTTGATCATTGTGTGGTCAGACATGTACTGTCCCACCTCCAAATATTTACTGTTTTTACTTCATTGACTACACTGCAAGTTTTTCAAGAGCAACACATTTTAAGAAAAAAAACAAAACAAAACACCAAACCCAACCCTTCTTGTTAGTTCTGTTACTCTTTTTAGTGTTCAGTGATTTAATCTGTGGTAAAGTCCTTGACAAAGAGAAATGAAATTGTCTGAAAACTGGTACTTCTTGATTTACCTTTTTTTTTATTTTACTTTGCTATTGGTTTTGATCTTTAAATGCCTTTCATGGATTATTAGATGCATATTATTCAACTAAATTAATGCAAAGTTTTATCCACATTTGCATATGAAATTTGCAGTTTTTCACTATATCCAGACAAATGTTATGGAAGTGCTTTTCTTTATGTAACAGGAAAGCTAAATTTTGTGTGGTTTTTCTTTTCTTTTTTTTGCTGGAAGAATTATTGGAGGACTTGAGTTGCCAATTCATTTTTCCTTTTTTTTAAAAAAAAAAAATGAAGTGTGCAGTGAGTCTCCCAAGTGTTTTAGTAGTTTTAGAATTCAAGAAGAAAACTGGCTTTCCAAGCAGATTGTCTATTTATGATGCCCTTCTGCCTGTATGTTGTTGCGTAGTCAGTGATAAACAAGATTTATATTTTTGACTAGCAACCAAACTCCCTCATTTTCCCCTTTCTCCAAAAGAAAGCAAGCCATGAACATTTTGGGTCTTCAAAGAGGCTAGTCAAACATTAAAGCTGGAGGGAGGGGAACATGAATAACTGCTATCCTACCTGTGCAGAATACCACCCAATGGAGACACTAAACTTCTTTGAAGCTATGTTGTTCTTCATCATCTTACATATGACCACCATGTCGCTATCAGTAGTGTGGCTGGTTTTGCAACCACCTAACTTTAGCTGGAAACCAGAGTTAACTTTCTTTGTTCTTCAGGTTCCTTTTTAAATCTGGATGTCCACACAATCTAAAATAACAAGCACTGCTGGCTCCTCTTGTATTTGTTTTTCTTTCCAAAGAGAATTTATACTCATTTCTTCCTCCTCAGTTTTGAGGTTGGAAAGGCCTAATTTGAGTGGGATGATAAAAACTGTATTGCTCTTGTTATTTCCTAGGTTGCTGAAAGGCATGGGCTGGATTTTATTATTAGAGGTTTTGATTGTTTTGGATTTCTAGGATTTGAAATAGATGGAGAGGGAAAAAAATGACATTGTTGTGAATACAGCAAACATCCTGTCAGTTGTCTTAATTGCAAATGCCTTGTACCTGAGAGTCAGGCACCTCTTTCCTCTGGGTGAGCTTGAAATTCAACAGGAGTTGGACACTAGAAGTTGAGGCCTGTTAAAAGTGAGATTTTGCTGCTTGTTCCATTGTCAGTGTTGGAAGCCATGTGCTTCAGAGAAAAGTACAAGCTGCTGACAGCTGTTCTTGAGGCAGCTGGCTCTGTGCTCGTCCTCTAGGTATTCTGAGCAATAACATATTTTTCTGTTTCTCACAGGTATTCTTAATGCAGTTGTTACTCCCTAACCAGGGCGGTGTATTTCCTAAATAAAAATATAACCGTATTCCATACTGGTGCTGTAGTGGCTTTTCCAAAGTTCCGTGTGTCATGATGTATAGAGCTGGCTTCAACTGCGTTGTAAACAGCTGATGAGCTACAAGTACTGCATAATTAGATTTTTAAACTTCAGCATAATGAATATTGTAAAGGAGAGAAGGAGTTTTTTTGAGTGATCTTCTTATACGTCATCAGTGAAGCTAATACCTTGTGATGTTTCTGTTATCTTGAGACTTGAAAATATATGTTATACATAAATGTTTTATTTCAGAGGTTAAGAAGATTATCAACAAAATACAGAACAGAGAAGATCTACCCAACAGCCACTGGAGAAAAAGAAGAAAATGTTAAAAAGAATAGATACAAGGATATATTGCCGTGTAAGTCTGATTTATGTGTTAATAGAAGACAAAGGAAAGTGCTTGTTATTCTTAACATATGTTGAATTTTACTATTTAGCTATTAGTGAAAGGCAAAATTGGAGATAACTTGCTGAAAGGTAACTTTTTATGAAATTTTTATTTTTAACTTGGAAGGCAAAGTAAGGAGAGCTATCACCTGAAGATAAAGTGTGTGCTAGGTCCCAAGCCATATCAAACTGTCACTTTCATTTTAGCTCAGAATAGTCTAGAACTTTACTAGGTGCTTAACTGTGTTTTTTCCTTAGGACCATGTTATTCCTGGTAGGAAACAAACAAATGTCAGCATAAACTCTAGATGAAATTTTAAGGAGCCTTAGGGAACCTGGTTTTGTGATTTGAAGTAAAATAGATCTTTTTTTCTTGTTTGTATCTTGCAAACAGTGTCAGAGAACTTTCAGTGCTGGATTATCTTCAGTTTCTATTTTGCTAGAGCCCAGATGAAACACAGAAAAGAGTCAGAGTAAAACTCAAATTTTAAAACCACCGATGTGTGGATATAACAGATCAGTGATCTGTAATGACAAGACTACATGTTACAAGCTCACTTTGTGTAGCTTGTGAGGCCATGTATTTCAGAAGCTCTTACTGTGCTTCTCAATATGAACAGCTGACTGTGAGGTCAAAGGATAGTCTTCTGACAAATGCCGTTTTTCATTTCCCAGAAGATTAGCAACAGATACACTTTACTCTCCTTAGCTTTTTGAGAAGTGTTAGGAAGTTTATAACCAATCTGAAGTTGGAAATGGTCTTAAGCATCATTAGCTTTCATTTTGAAAATGTATTCTAGTAATAAACTGCAGTGAATTGCAGCGTATTTCAGGTTGTTGTATACCTGTCTGCTCTGTTTTTCTAGTGATGGAATTTTTACTGTTTATCAGTGCTTGGAGCACCACTTCCAACAAAAAATTTGCCTTAAAGCCACAAGCACTAGATTGTTTAACGAGGTGGGCATAGTGCTTGCTGCTGCACTGAGAAGGAAAGACTCATGCGTTCATATTTTGCTGGAGGATATATGTGTGACATACATTACATGTTAGAGTAGTGTGGTACTAAGCTCAACTGCAGCAAAATAGTTAAATATCATTGGGGTTTTTGTGCTTGTTTTGGTTTTTTTTAGTTGGGAGGAAACATGTTTAATGGATGGAGTGAAAAAGAGAGGGAAAGTTGTTATTGTCATCTTAATAATAAGAGTTGTTATACTCCTTCTTCTGTGCTGGCATTTTGGTAGATCATGAGCAATATAGCAAAATCTTGGTAGCATCTAGTCTGAATCAATGAGACACTTAATAGATACTACAGTAGTGAATGGCTGCCACTAGAGTAGTAGATGTGCTTTTCTTCCATCTACAGAAAAATAAAAACTGAGTCACTGGGGTCTGAAAGGGTACATGGATCACAATGGGGGAAATGAGCAAACCTCAAAGCTGACATTGAGGAAAATTGAAGGTATATTTTTAGTTAAAGCAAAAATATCTTCAAACATCCAAAGGTTCCAGCAATAAAGTGGTGGGAGACTAGCTTGACAGAAATGAAAACCAGGAGATGTTTTGGAGGAGGAAGGGGATGATACTTTGCCTATCTTTTATAAGTTCAGAAAAGAGCTACGTTTGTAAATTAATTGGAGATTAGTGCTGCGTTTATCAGAAATTGTTACTGCTACCAGAGAAATCGGTATCTCAATACTAACTCAATACTGGCTTCAGAGTAAAAGATGTGTGCATGGTCACATTACAGTTTACTAAGCCATCCTAAATGATAGTTAAATGAAACATGGTGCTCACTGGTTAACTGAAGACACAGATTAGTAATTGTGAACTGAGCCTTTAAGCTATATATAAATATCTAAGCACTTAAATCTTCTGAAGCTGGCACCTGTAACGGAATTTTTCTTGGAGAATTCTATTCCAGACCTAAAACTCTGAAAGAGCTGAGCTATGGCAGATACAGGCAGGCTGGAAACGTTGACATTTGGAAACTGCTCTAGAATTTTGGATCTACTGTGCTGGGAAGATAGGAGCCCTCATTAGCCTACCACTTCAATTAGTCCAATCTGCCATTTAAAAGCAGTTTTTAGTATTAAGTCTGTGACACCATTGCATGTTTGTAAAGCGTTCTTACTTTTATATTAGTTTGAGAGAGTAATATGTTTTAAGGGTTTATCTAGGCCTTTATGTGAGAGTGTGTTGTCTTTAGATCTGTGATCTAAATGTCTTGTGATCCTCACTTGTGCTTTTTTTAGGAAGCATTACATGGTAACACAAATGTTTTTTGCATGTTATCAGGGCTCTGGCAGAAAATTTCACCATGCTGAGAGCAAGTATCTTGGAAGCTTTTTGGAAGAGCTTTCTATATAGAAATAACTCTTAGCATGTACTTCTCGTGGGCATGGTTCCCTGTTTTATTACCAGTGATGTTTTGACAAAAAAACCCCCAACCAACTCTATTTCCTCTCTTTAAATAGACTCGTTCTTTATGTTTTTTCTTGAATTTAGCTCTAATGAAAATTTTAGCAGTTGTTCTGTGACTGAGGAGTTGACCCTGGGAGCAGAAAGTAACAAATTACTCGAGCAGATGCTGTTTCTGCACATACTTCTGTTGCCCAGTTCAAAGAGAATTCTTTTTGATCTGGATTTCCAAATAAAGCAACTGCTATTATAGAGATAGTTTGAATGATTTTTATGTGATAGCTAGGAAGTGTTGGTATCAACAAGAGCTGGAAGGACTGGCGAACCTGCTAACGACCTGCCCTCCTTCTTAGAATCATCAAGTTGTTTCTGTATTAAAAGATGCATTTAACTTTTTTTCAGTGCCAAAAAGAATTCCAAGATGTTTAGTTTATTCTGTCAACAAGTGCGAAGGGCTATCTTTGACTGCTGAGGATTTTGGTCTCGAAAGATCTGCTATTTTTATGAGAAGCTTTTCCCGAGACAGTAATGCTTGAGGCAGAAACTGGAAATAAAACCCCCAAAATGAAGGAATCTGCTGCTTCTGGTTCAGAAGTGCCCCAGCAAAGTGCCTAGCCCAGCGTTTGAGGATAGAAGTCAGTCTGTCCTCAGCAATAAACTCCAGTGCATGTTTCATGTTGTTAATACTTCATGGAGTCCTTCTTGGCAGAGACTTTTAAGACCTGCCAGCTGCTTTAACTACGCACTGGTGGTTTATTCTTTCTGCTTCCTGTAAATGTGCCTTTAATTCTGACCATAATGATCTGTGTTAATATTGTGAGACTACAATTTTGATTACTTCCGAGCAACTGAATTTTGCCTCTTTGTAATGAATTGCTCTTGGAATTCCAGGAGTTGGTACTCTGTAAACTTGAGCATCAGAAGCACATAGCAGTAGGAGCTACTCTGCTTACCCCTACTTGAGTTGGTTTACCCATAAATTAAATGGACTGACTTGCTTGTGTGACTTATCTTTGAGAAACATTCTTTAATACTTAATTTCTTCTATACATATAATATGTAGTATGTATATTTACTGTTACATACTGATATACATGTGCTGTAATTCTTGGGTTTTTTTAAAAAAAAATTTCTTCTTTTAGTTGATCATAGCCGGGTTAAACTGACCTTAAAAACTCCCTCACAAGATTCAGACTACATCAATGCAAATTTTATTAAGGTATGTATTACCATCTTAACAGTTCTTAAATTCTTTTTAAGCTTTTATTCCATATCAATGCAGTTTTAATGTTATAGTCTGAGGTAAGAATTTAAAGCAGTGAGGGAAGATTCTTATTTTATTATGGCTTGAATAAATTTGCAAACATGATGCCTTTTATAAAGCAATTTTTAAAGTTTTATTATTACTCTAAGTGTAAGTATAATATAAAATACTTCATTTTGAAGTGACAGGCAACCAAATTGGAACTTTATACCATCGGAAAATTCAGATATGATTGTTTTTACAGTTGATAGTGTTAAAAATACTAGACTTCAAGAGAGGCTGGTTTTAGGGGTCATAAATGAGGCATTTGACAAATTTGGTATGTTAATATGTACTTCTTGCTGTTCATGGTGGAATTGTGGCAATGCAATTATATCTAATATTCTTAAAGAGAAGCCAGAGTTTGGCTAAAAGCCTGTTACACTTTTGTTTCAAAGTGTGAATATCTTGGGCTTTCCTTGAAGCAGCATCAGAATAAGGCTACTACACAGTAATGCTTATTCAGAAACAAGTGTTCCTAGAAATCTCACTTCTTGAATGTTTAGCATGAAAAACTGAATGTAAATGTCTTCAAACTTTATATAAAACAAATTTTTAAATTTTGGATTTTTGAAATGTGTTGTTACTGGGAAGGGGGAGCTTAAATTTGTTCAAGGAGATGCTTTTTAGCAGAAAGATTTTCAAATTTTCATCATTAAATGTTTGAATAACAAAGAAAATGTGGACTTAAAGGGACTCTTCAGAATCTGAACATACAGAAACTTACTATTTTCTGTTACAGTTTCTGGCAGCACAGTAGCTGTTATAATCTTGGGCACCCTTGAAATCACCAGCAAAATTCCCGTGAATGTAAATGGGACTCGTATTTCATATTCACCCTTCCTGTTGTATCAAAAAAGAGAGATTCTAACTTTATATGATTATAACCTAAAGCCTTTTTTATTCAGTGCAAATGAATTTTCTTTATAAACATTAATGATTCCTTTGTGCAATCCTAGGGAGTACATGGGCCAAAAGCATATGTTGCTACCCAGGGACCATTAGCAAATACAGTAATAGACTTCTGGAGGATGATATGGGAATACAATGTTGCCGTAAGTACCTGCTTAAAAACCAAAATTGGGTATTACCTTGTTTCACGGCACAGTGATTGTGTATCTTCTGCCTGAGCTCGTGGTTATTATAAAAAATGTTGATAGTGATTTAGTCCATTTACTTCTAAAATCTTGGTTTTGTAGTTTAAATAGCATTCTATATATAATTAATATTATTTATAAATTTAATAATGTGAATTCGAAGTAATAATTTTGTTGAATGAAAATGAAATCACACACGTTTATGAAGCGTGCTTGGTTACATCTGTCCCGTAGGAGACCTTACAACTCTGACTTAATGTGGACTGACAAAATCAGATACAGGAGCAGCATGTAAAATAACAACAAAAAAAAAAAGCCTACCTATCTATTTATGCAAATTTTGGGTTACTTACTGGTTTATGTATTATACATCTGTTTAAACAGCTATTGTCAGGAGTTAATTTTTAAGTACTGTTAAAATTGGATATGCTCGACAAATTATTTCTGAAAATTATTTTTTTGTTTGTTTTATCAGACGCTTAAATCATGTTTACTTTTTGTAACAAATAGCTTACTGGTTGGTGCATTTTTATTGTGCTATTCATATTAATATATCTGAAGTAGCTTCACCTAAGAAATCTGATTCTTGTTTTCTAAATAGATTTTTGCACCTATTTTAAGCAGTCTATGTCATCTTAAGCAAATCTAGCTATGTTTTTTCCAGTTGACAAACGGTTCTATATTTTTATGATTAAGTTTAGACTTTACAGTCAGACTGAATAAATAAATAAGGTATTTATACAGGATTACAGTGAATTCAAATTAAGTAGCCTTAAAATCTTGTATTAATGTTGTAGATTATTTTGTGCAGGATAAAACTTGGATACTTTTTTGAATTAAAAGAGCATGCATCTGCAAATAGGAAAATAATATTAATTAGTCTCTTCAGTAGTAACAAATTAAGGCGTATCAGTATCTACCCAAATAGAACCAAACAGTAAAGTGTTGGTGAATTTACTTGACCTAAAACCAGCTAATGTTGAGTATCTTTTTTTTCTTTTCAGATAATTGTTATGGCCTGTCGAGAATTTGAAATGGGAAGGGTATGTATACTAAATACAAAACTAAATGAGCATTGCCTATGTGAGGCAATATGCCAATACCTTTGAAGCTTCATATGCCAAATCCATAACCAGAAAAATAATCTGCCAGATTAAATGAGAATGCCTATCCTTATATTTGTATGCATAGAAAATAGTGAATGAGGCTGCTTTTCTTTGTTCCATTTATAGTGGTATGTTATTATTTAGGTGTCATCTCAGTGGAGTATATGTGTTTGTATACAGAACTGTACCAATGGTCTGTTTCTGGTCATGTCGCTATGGAAAAAAAAAATCTTGCTCTTCGTGGGATGTAGGCCAGCTATCAAAATCCTGAGTCCTTCAGAATTTTCTGTCAATTGATACAGCTGCAAAAACGACCGATCTTTTAAATGTCTCTGCTATATTCTTATGACCTGAAAAGGAAAAAAAAAAAAACAGTAGTCCAGAATTGTGAACTCCAAACTTTCACAAAAACTAAATTAACTCTCATCGCTTCCCTCTCTGTGATGCGTGCTTGTGCATATGTAGGTAGTCATGAAGTTCACGTCTTAATTTCAAAGTGTCTTTTGGCTGTATTTATTGATCATCTGGGGTTTTTGGTTTTGTTTTTCTTTCGGTATCCAAAACAAAAGACATCTTACTTTCTTAGTAGTCCAGTCAAGGCACCAGTAGGCAGATGTTAAGGAAAAGCACCGAGACAGACAGACAATAAGGCATTTGAGAATATCATTCTGTCTGCTCTGCTTCTGTTAATCATCACCTTTCAGTACTACACAAACTAAATTAGGATTCTTTGCTTTAACAGAAAAAATGTGAACGTTACTGGCCTCTATATGGAGAAGCAGCTGTAACTTTTGGACCATTTCGTGTTTCTTGTGTAAGTATAAAACTTTATAAATTTATTTAATGCTTTTGTAACTTAAAATAACTGTTCAACAAAGAATACTACAAAACAAATGCTTTTTTAATTGTTCAGTACCAAATTTTACACAAAGACTCTCCATTAATTGTGAGGTTTTCATGGTGTGGGTGAGAATATGGTATGTGGGAGCATAGCCGCCAAAATCAATATGAACAGCATTTCTTAGGTGTGGTATAGTATCCGCTTGCCTTTGTACACACCTGTTTATGTATCTTTATTCCTTCCTGCTTTAAACACATTTGTGGCCTGTTTGTCCAGCTTCTACCTCTTAGAGTTGTGATTGTGTAGCCTTCACTTCTAGATGATGCCAAGGGCTGTCCAGCCTATCACATTGTGTTCAGTGATGGCCTAATTACTTGAGGGAAGAGAATAGAAAGTAAGCCGTGTGTAGGATGATCCTTCTCCTTGTACTTGTTGGCAGCTTCTAGCGATGGACTTGTAGGACTTCCTTAATTGGGTGTTGCCCCTGAATTATCAATATTTCTGTAATGCAGTAGGTGATTAATTTGACAAATTTTTTTCAGTTTGGGTTTTGGTTTTTGTCACTTATCCTTTGACATTTCGTCATTGTGTTGTTGGCAGAAAACTTCCCCATGTCTTTATTTTTAATCTTGCCATCTGGTAGTTCAATCAGATTCTGTTATGTTCTATTAGTTACAATTAGGATATGAATGAAACCTGGCATTAAAGTGTTAAGTATAACTGTCGTCAGTATAAATGATTTTGCTGTGAACTTTTTACACTGGAGTTCATGATTGACCATAGCTATTCACTTATTCTAAAACAGTGGAGTTGATCCATTCCAAATTGATCTCAAAACTGATATTTTTCTTTTTTCATCTCCTTCACTCAGAATTACATGGGTTTGGACATGAGTTGCTGCTATTTTCTAGCTGTAGTGCTTTAAGGTGTTCAGAAAGAGCTAGCATGCCAGTTTAGTGAGCTATTCTTAATCCTACTTTGAAATAGTCTAGAGTTAAGTACACTTCGAGTTCATCTTGTCAGGAAAGCCTATACTTACATATTTTAGTCTATAAAGTTTCTGATTAGCTTTTTCCTACCTTAAATTGATTTAAAAACTGGCTTGTGGGTTTATTTTTTTCATGGATTTTCCTTCTCCTGCCCCGTACCTAGTGGGTGATGGTCACATACCTGGCAAGTATTTGTGAAAAGGGATTGTGTGTATGTTGTAATTGAATTCTGAGCTACAGCTGAGAATGTATTACCTTTGGGTACAGTTGTCTACATGGGCTCCATTGCTGCTAGCTGTGCACTATCTCCTTTAAACCTGCGAGGTGTTGCAGTTGTTTTCTTGATGGAAAATCGTAAATTCCCAGTAACAGATAGGAATGCATTAAAGTGTATATGCAGTCTCCTAAATTCACTGTGGGAAGCTGTAATTCTAAGTATTTAAAGGCATCTTCAAATTGTGGTATTCCTGATATTTTAAGTGCAGTAGTATTGTTTCGTTTCTACAATATAAACTTTTCTGAATGTTCTGAAGGCAGATTTGAAAATTTTGGGAGCCTAGAAGCTATATTTTTTGGCCACAACCAAGATAATTACAATGATCCATTCAGATGCACCCTTAATTAAAAATAGCAGAAGGGGAAAAAAGGAAAGGAGATGTCACAGCTAGAGTGATAAGAGTCTGAAGTTTATACAGCAGAAGCATTATAGAAGGATGGCTGTGGGAGGCAATCCGTAAATTAAATGTATAAAGAAATAAAGCAAAAGAAGTACTTTGAAATACTCGTACAAGGTTATTGATGGTTTCAGGGGCAGGCTAGACATTGGTTTGAAAACTCACATTTTTATTTTAAGTAAAAGTAACAGCTTTCACAGATATCTTGTGTAGCAAGCTAAGTTGCTGCTGTTCTCAAATCAATGCTTTGATTGCCCATCTTTTGAATAAATCGTAGATATAAAACCAGTCAATTTAAAGAAAAAAAAGGCACCTGGGTTAAAGTTTGGGTTTTTAGTTATATCCTGTATGCTACATATTGATCTTTTTTTTTTTTCCCAATTCATTACTGTTCTCTCATGTTTAGGAAGCTGAGCAAGCAAGAACAGATTACTTCATTAGAACATTATTACTTGAATTTCAAAATGTAAGTATACAGTCACTACTGGTCTCAACTTTAATGGTTGCTCAAAGGTCTCTAAAATGATACAATGGAGGAAACTCATGAAAATGTCTTCAGTCTTTTAGGTGCTGACTCTGCATGTATGTAAATCATCAAGTTTAGAAGTGATGTTAAAAGCTTAGTATGTAAGAGAAGAGTGGTGAAACTCTGTACTTGTCTTTTATGTATGTTCTTGGTTAGCCAAAGGTGTGTGGTGGTCTTCAATAGCATGTGTTAACAACTAGAAAACTTCTGTCACCCTGGAAGAATTTCACTGTTTACCCTAACTGAAAATATGATGACAAACTGAATTAAACTTGTCAAAAAAGCCTGTTTCCACTAGTTAGCTGCTTTTTGGGTAAAGTATGTGTACTTGTTAGAATTTGCCCTATACTTTCATTTATCGTCAAGAGGGTTTTACAATGTTAAAAGATGTTTCCGATGCCCGTTCATATATTTGTATTGCCAAATAAAAATAAAGCACGGATGACAACACCTTAGTGATTTTTTTTTTTCCCCCCAAGTTTTTCACTCTAGCTTGTAAGAACTCTTTTTGGAGTTGAAATAGATATGAGAAATGTGGAATTAATTTAATTAATTCAGTTAATTAATTAATTCTTGATTAAATTGAGCTGCATTGTCTTTTTGCTTGGAGAACTTTTGCATGGGGGAATTGCATGTAATATATTCAAGGGTCAAGACAGAAATGTACTTTTAAAAGTGAGCTCAAGACTTCAGAATTCTTGAAGATTTGATATCCTAGTGTTCAAGATGTAGAATTGGCTTACCAGACAAGTATTCTGGTAAACCAGTTCATTTACGCTATTTGTTAAGTTGGCAACTGTAAATGGTTACAGTTAGTCTCTTTATGGAAGAAATTGAGTTTATTCATCTTAGTGAAAACTTATGACACAAAACGCTAAACCATGAGACCTACTTCATAAACTGAGTATGTTATGTTAATTGTGAAAATTGTCCTATTTTCAGTGAAATAAAAGCACTTGCATTGTCATACAAGTCTTAAGAATGAATGATTTAAGCCTTTCCTGTAAACTTAAATGTCAGTTTTGAGGTGACTGTTTATTTTTCTGAAAGGCAACTGTTAGTAAATAAAAATAGGTGTCGAGCTGTCCTGCAAAAATGTGAAGGCTGACAGTCTATTTTGCAGAATACCTGTCATTTTAACTGGCATCCTATATTAGAAATGATTTATTGTAGGTTAGTCTCACTTATGGTTATGTTTTCTCTAGCAGTGCTTTGTCCCATTTCAACAACTGATATCACAACAGTTATGAAAACTGTTTCATCATGAGGGGGGTAATTTTGGGGGGTAATTTCTGTCTGCAGTAGCTTGCTAGGTGCTTGCAGTGGGATGCATGAACTTAATCACTTTGTTTCTGTATAGTGTGTCCTGGATGCTCGTAACTGACTGTGCTATGAAACTTTTTAGATAGCAGAAATTAACTGCATAACAACTGTGGGGTTTGCAACAGTTTTGTTTGTTTTTTTTTTAAATGGTGCACTTAAAAACAGAACAGAAAAGATACCAAAAACCCCAAAGCAAAACCTACATTACTTTTAGTACCTGAATATCATGAGAACTGGTTATTTCAGAAACTGTAGCTAATTAATATTTTGCTTCCATATGCTATACATGGAAATCATGTTTAGCTACTTGACTTCCATAAGTTCTGTTCCAGTTAATTTTTAGAGGGTGCCTGTGTATTGCATAAAAACTAAGTAGTAACAGAAAGCTACAGGTTGCACTATGCTTTTGATCTTAGCAAAGAGCCCAAAGTTTATGGTCCTTTAAGGAGTAATATAACTGAAAGAATTAACAAGATATGTTGATATTCAACCTACACAGCTGATAAAACTATCTTTCTTTAGACTTACCTAGCAAATTTGCTTCAGGATTTCTGTGAGCACACATTTTGGTAATGAATTACAGACTCTTGATCTTACTTTGAAGAATTTGAAGTGTAGCCTTGAACTGGGGAGGAAAATATGTATTTGTGGTATAAAGTAATACCCTTTTAAGTTCACTTTCTGTTTTTTCAGAATAATGAAAAGTTTTGTCACTTCTGTAAAAATTTCAATGGAGTATCGTACAAAATACTATGCAAAAGAATTTAAAATTTGGATAAATATACCAGGTTATTCTAGTTTCTAGGACGAAAACCAGTTTGACTGAAACTTGAAGATTATTTTAAGATAAAACACTAGATTCTTTCTTAAAAAACACCACTAAAAAAAGGACTATAGATGTTCCTTTTCATTTTTAATTTTCATATCAAAAGCAAAAATTTAGATTATTCTTTTCTGACAGTTCTGCTACTGTGAAAATTCACTGCTTTTGTCTCCTTAAATGTAATTAAGTGAAAGTTCTTGGTGGACCTTAATAGGCACCTGTAACTTTTCTTCCTCCTTACTGATGACATTAGTTTTACATAATGAGTTGGATTTTTAAAATTTCTTTTCTTAGACTGGATTTTCTCTTGTTTTTACTAGCTACAGTGCTTCCACAGGAGTGGCAAAAATAAAGCATCAAAAATAGTTGATTCAGTTGGAAGATGAGATAAATTTTCATGTACGAGAGGCTCTCTATGTTGCTTCTTGAATAACCAAACAGAAGGTAGCATAAGTCTTGAAACTTATACCCTGTAACATTGATCAAAAAATTCGTGTGCCTCTCTAGCACATCACTTTGAGGGTATACTAGAATCTGTATGCTCCGAATGGTTTGGATAGTGATCAGAAAAGGGATTTGGTCTTTCGGGGATTCAGGTAGCTGAGGAACTAGGCTGTTCTAAAGTCTACTTCTTACCTTGTCTTTAGTACTATTGTACTATGAGCTAACTAGAGTAAAAGTGTACCTGCTGTTGTTGCGAGTGTGATTCATATTTAGATACAGCCTGAATTATTTCTCTCATTTTCTTAATTTCCCTCTGCATGCATGCGCACATGCATACACACACTTTATTTTTTAATGTGACAAAACAACAACAACCGCCTGTCCTGTTTGTTTCCTCTGCCCTCACTGTAAATTACTGGAGTACGCTTGGAAAAAGAACCTTTCATGGTGGTCTTTCCTTTTCTTTCTCCCTGCTTAAGACTGTAAGAATAGACAATCTTTTAACACAGTGGAATGTGCTGGGTCCTTTAACCCATATATTATAGACAGGGCTTCTGTGAACTGCCCCATAGTGCTTTCTCCTGTGCATTAGCAGGACTTGAAATGCTACTTCAGAATTTCCCTTTTGTTTTTCGAACTGGTATAGGCTGTAGGGTTTTTTTAATGTAGTAAATGGCTTTGCTTGTCCATGCTGAATCATGCAAAAAGTAAAGGTTCATAGAACAAATTATTTAACACAAACCCCTTAAATATGTATTATCATTAACACTTTTTTTTCCTCCCTCTCCCTCAGGAGACTCGTAGTGTCTATCAATTTCATTATGTTAACTGGCCTGACCATGATGTCCCTTCATCTTTTGATTCTATTCTGGACATGATCAGCCTGATGAGAGAATACCAGGAACATGAAGATGTACCAATTTGCATACACTGCAGGTATCAAATATATTTAATTTTTACACTTACATACATTTTAACTTTTTTTGAAGTCTAGACTTTTGGTATGAGATGCACTAGTTTGATTCTAAATCAGAATTTATTTATTTACTTGTTTTAGTTTTCTAAAAAGGAATATTTTCTTAGTCAGAGCTTGGCTTAAAATCATACAGTCTTCATTGTTTTAAAACTCATGCCACAGTGAAATCTTGCTTCTATTTCAGTTTAAGACAGAATATCAATCAGGAAGGAATTAGCCTTTGAAAGGGAAGCCGTTTTGTGGTTCTTAAGACATTTAAATCCTCATTAGGACAAAATAGACTTTGAAGATCATTGCAAATCAGATATGGGAGCAAAGGCTCCATTCTCAATGGGAGAGACTACGTAACAGGTGGATCACTACTTAAGAACTTTTCTGTGTGTCTTCTAATATGACAAAAAAGATCTCTAATGAGCAGGCTGTAGTTTCTGGTTGGTAAGTCTTTGCTTCTGTGCAACAGTTTCATATTTGACCTGAAATTTGGCTAGCAGAAGGACTGTTGAAACTAAACTGCCATGAAAATGTTTTGGTGAATTGACAGTTTCTGACAATTTCTCTGGAAAGTTCTTGCCTATGATACTTGATCCTTTTTTAAAGCAACAAAAGTTAATGTATTGTATGTGAGAAAAACTGAATTCAGATTCATAATCAAGGAAATGTTGAATTGTTGGGGGCTTATTAACTCTTTAGAGCTTGGTTATTCTCTTAAAGTGTATAGAAATCTACTGTCTTTAGCTGCCTTCTTTTTTAACTTGTCACTCTAAGTAATTGAGGTATAAAACCATAAAAAACTTGTTTAGCACTGAAATCCATTTTACTTTGTCCTGTTTCTCATGAATGTTGCTACAGTTGTAAAGGTTGGTTCTTTACAAAAGTATAATTATAATATAATAAATACACGTGCATTGTAACTCTTTATATGTAAAACAGAAATTAATAAAAATAGGAAGAATAAATGTGATAGTTCACTATCATTTTTTTATAACTTTCAGATTTAAGTTTTTTAGATAAAAAGAAAATACAGATATGATACTAAAGCAGAAAAATGTGAGAAGTCTTTAAACATACTCTGTTCTGCCGTTTAACATATCTATCATTAAACTTGGACAAAAGCCCTACTGTTGAAGTAGTGTTAGCTAGGAATAGCATGACGAGAGAGGCATAAAAATGTCAGCATTGAAGCATCTTTCATGATTGCAGTTCCAATTGGCTATGAAAAACTTGCATTAAAAACTTCAATGCTCCATTTGGCATTTTGCACTCCTGATTTTTTTATTTTTAAGACACTGTAGTGTCAGGTTGAGTGACCTTAAAATGATAGTTGAGGGACTTTGATTTTTTTTATTTTAACATGGACTCTTTTAACGTGTGTTTTTTAAAAATTAAAATAACTTCTAACACACCTAACTGTTTATGTTCATAGTGCAGGGTGTGGAAGAACAGGAGCCATCTGTGCCATAGATTATACATGGAATTTGCTTAAAGCTGGGGTAAGGAATCTTAAAAGAAGAAATTTTGAGGCATTCTGTCATTTCATAACAGTGATTGATTGAGCTCCCAAATGTTCTAAAATAGTGAAATGTTAAAGATGTTCCGGAACTCTTTTGACAGGTTGGATGTTTAGTTTCATTACATTCATACTTTAGTATGAACTTACTTCTTGTTGACAGCAAGTTTTTATCTAAAAAAAGTCACTGTAAAATTCTAAATATTTTCTTTTAATATATTTCAATATGAAGTGTTTTTTAATTCAACTTTTTCAATGTCTGTGCTTAATCTTGCAGCTCCTAAAGCTTGATATTTCAAACATACAGGAATAACTTCATTCTGAGGTTTTTTCGGTTATGAAGCATCATTAATGCTTCATGCATTAATGCAGTGTTACATTAATGCTTTCATTAGATGTCTCACTGTCAAAATACTTGAAATGTTCTCATCTGGTCTAAATCAAATGTTTAAAACCAGTTCTGGGGAGGAATTGCTTTTCAAAAAAATTTTGAATAGCTGTAGTATGGAGAGAACAGATTGGCTTCACCTACAAAAGTTAAACATACTTTTGGATGTCTATCAGCTTTTTGTATTGCTGTTCTGACAAACAGTTTTGTCAATATAACTGACTTCATTCTATGTTTCAGAAAATACCTGAAGAATTCAATGTATTTAATTTAATACAGGAAATGAGGACGCAAAGGCATTCTGCAGTGCAGACCAAGGTATAGTTTGTTTTTAAATTAATCTTTATCATAGAATCATATACTATCATTCCTTGTAAAGATGTCATGCGCTAATTTTTTTATCTGGTAACCTATTATAGGAGCAGTATGAACTTGTCCATCGAGCCATAGCACAACTGTTTGAAAAGCAACTGCAGAAATATGAAAGTTGTGCAGACTGGAAGATTGCAGATGGAGTGGTATGTGTCTTTCCCATATGAGTTTCAATCAATTGTAGCTGTTAGATTCTGATCAAGATTTTCTTGTAAAGTCTTATTTTTAAAGTTAAGTGTTCAATGGCATTAAGGCACATATAGAACTTGTTTGGATTACAAGTGGTTTTTGCTGAGTAGGGACAGCTAGCCTGTGCTCAGCTTATACCAAGGACATGGTTGTAAAAGTTGAGTCAGATAATTAAAGGGATATTTACCACGTGTACCAAATGCAATTGAATGGGGGAAGCAATAGAAAGAATTCTAGTATGGGTGAAACGCAGGACTCTAACTCAATACTTAAATAGTGAAATGTGCCCTTACCTTGATGAGGTGGCAGTAGTTGACAGCTGATCTGTTCCTTTGATTGGCAGTACTTACACCAATTCTGATATATTGGCAGCAAATGAAATTTTGTCTGAGCTTGGCCTTCTGCAAGTTACTTGTTAAACAGTATGATAAAGATCAAGTTAAAAATAAAACTCCAGCCTATATGTACGTATATTTATATATAAATAAATAAATACACATATATGTATGTGTATATAGAGTAATTCTATCTGACCTATGTTTAGGTTAAACTCTTGAAAGGGAAAAACTTCATTGAGGTTTTCTTTTCTTCCTTCCCCTCAGTGTGGCGGTGGGCCCAATTTTAAACTGGTAGATAAGCATTGATCTGGCTCTTCAGCTGAGACTTGGATGTTACATGCTGTTGCATACTGCCTTGGTCTTGGTCCAACACAGCCTCAGCGTAGTTGAGCATGACTGGCAAAGAGTGATCTTACTAAGTTCTTGTATTGTGTTGAGTTACTGTTTGCACTGATTGGGGGAAAGAAAAATAACTTTAAAATGTCTTTGTCAGGAAGCTTCCTACTCTACCCTTTCAACAAAAGGGGAAAAAAAAACCCTTGGAAAAGTAATATTCTTCGTTAGTAATCAGAGTGTTTTTCTGTCTTTCTGTCCTTCCACTTTGAATTTTGTGTCCCCTAGGTTTTTTCCCTTTTTCATGTTTAGGTATCTTTTTTTTGGCTACTACTGGGCACTCTGTGAAAGATGGCTTTTTGACTCAATATATTCTTTCTCTCCCTCACAGTTCAGAACTGTGTACCACCCTTTATCCTTGGACTATGTTTTATTTATTCAGTAATTTTATCTGTCCCTTCAGTACCTAATTGGCGTAGTCTCTGTAGCTCTCTAAGGGGAGTAGGAGTAGTATCTTCAGGACCCTTTGAAATATCTGGAAACAATTTTAAATCTGCTTTTTATTAATAAACACCCCTTTAATTTTAGGGATTTAGCTGCTCTATACTGTGCTTTCTAGGAAGTCTAAAATGTTTTTCATTTTTTGAAAAAAGGCATATACCTTCCTGTTAACTTCTAGGAGTTTGTATCAGTTTGTGCAATAGTTCTGAGGTCTTTAGTCATGACAAGAAACCTGATGGACTAAAAGCAATATGGATAGGGCAGGCTATTTTAATTTGTTATTGGTTTGATATTCAGCCTAGCTAGTCCGTGAACTTTCATTTTATTTCTGAGGAATGAGCATGATAGGGTTTGGAATGTGCAGATTTATTAGTTTTGTACAGAAGTGATTCCTAACTGAGTTTTGGTTATAAAATAATAGGCAGGTCAGTCTACTGTATCTTCTAGTTATTTGACTTGGATCTGACCTGTGTCTGCACTCTTACATAGAATCAAAAATGTCTCCTATTATTTAGATGTATTCCAGAAGATCAGAACAAGGAGGTGACACAGTATACTGATACTATGTCTGTAACAAAGGCAAGTGCTGTCTGTAGCACATCTTACGAGATTTGAGCGAGTAATAAAACAAGAGCACATAGATTATGGATAGGTAATGTGCATGGGGGTGAGAAGGGGAGAAATCCCAACTCTGAATACGCAGTGACAGAGTGTGAGAGTTGAGTTTTGCTTGGATATGATCTTGGTTATACTCAATAAGTTGTCAAGGAAATTGAATTTTAGCAATTGTTTGGAAACTAGTAAGAGCAGAGAACATAATGTCATTGTGTGGATACCTTGCAGCTTGAATACTGTCTGCAGATCTGGTCTGCTTATCTCAACAGACTATTACAGAATTCAAGCATTAAAAATTTGGACAAGGGTCAAAGGTGTCAGAAGGTTCCATCTAAAGAGCAACCACATTGAGCTGGAAAAGAAATGGCAAAGTTAGATGTCATAGAGGCTAAGTAACAGTGAAAAGCTGATTTCTATTAACCTTTTCTAAAGGGTATCAGTGAGGCTTGGCAGACTTAATATAAAAGGAGATAGTTCTTCATGCAAGATGAAACTGCAGAGCTCCTTGCAACTGAAGGCCTGTAGCTTTGAGGTGAATATCTCATCGCCTTTGAATATTCTTCTGTGAATTTTCCCAACTTCTGACCAGTGAAATTCCAGAGTTGCAAACTGTTCAAGAACATCCTATGGAAGGATCCCTGCATGCCTGCTCTGTCCTTTTTCTTCCCTGTAAGTTTCCTTTTGGTCACTGTTGGAAACAGGGCAAAATGAATCTTTCAGTTGACTAGATATGGCCTTTTTTGCATTAGGAAATTATGCTTCTTCCTATTATAGCTTGAACATCTTCAGGAGGGTTGAGGAAAAAAGTCTCATAGGTAAAGAGGTCCCATATTGAAAAATTCGGTGCTTGAAAACAAATTTGCTAGCAGACTTTTGTTAGTTAAGAGGTTTCTCTTCAGGGAATTAACTGGTGTAGGCTTAGCTTCTGTTTTGGTTTTATAAGGTAGTCTTCTACTCGCATACCTGGTTAAATATCTGCTTGTAGCTTTAACCTGATTCTCAGAATTTTGAGGCTTGCTTGAGACAGTGTTTTTGCTATTCTGAAAAAACACCCTGAGAGGAAAAAAAAGGAGCTATGTAGTATCTGTTGTATGTAATGTCTGGTTTTCCCCAGAAATGTTTTAGTTGGTTTTTTAACTAAGATACATCCCAGAATGTGTGTTTGTTTTTTTTGAAAGGAAACAACCTCTGATGCAGAAAGCTTTCAAATAACTTGATTAAATATAATACCCTACGGTTCCTTCCCAGGTCTTACTCTGCCTGCAGATGCTATAGCAATTGTGGATTCATGTACCTGTGAAGGATTTTAATTGTGTTCAGTGGAAACAATTCCAAGTAAAAGAATGTGCCTACTTTGGATATGTTACTGTTAGTCATACAGGAGATACTAGTGAACTGAAGAAGTTGTTTTCTTTCATCTTTCATTTATTATATTCTGATAGTACTCTGAAGAGTTGGAGTACTCTGTAGGGTTGGCTTCATGGTTTTGTTGTCCAATTGCTTTTCTCGTTTCAAGCAGTGTTTGAAATGAATCGAGTTACCTAAGCTTTGTAAGCAGTGTTTGCCGGTAACATCACAGTAAAAAGTTAATCTGATTGGCAACGAGTAGCAGTATTCATGGGGGGAGTAGCTTAGACACAATCCTGAACGTGTGTTCCTGTGAACTTGCCAGCTTTGCCCTGCTGGAAACAATACTGTAAAAAGTCAACAAAAAAGCACGTGCAGTGTTTGAAAACAGACTTGTAATAGTGTCAGAATTTCTATTAGAATTTGATAGAAGGATTCAAAACCATGTAGAAAATACACATATGTTATAGTATAATGTGGTAATTGTATACTCTTACCATATAGTTGTACGTATTGTGAATGTATAGAACTCTAAATGTGTTTAAAATAATACTAAGTACATAAATGAAATTACATGAAGAAAAGATTTCTTCAGATACCAGATAGAGTACTTTAAACAGATCTCAAAGTAGCTAAATTTCAGGGCAAAGATGAAATTGCTGCTCAGAAGCAATTTTTTTCTGATAAGAAAAGGCTCAGATGATAAATTTGATAATCAGAACTATTTTTCTCCCCACCCAGTAGAAGGACTCTTTTAAATTATCAAAGAAATAAATTGGAACTCAGTCTTGGACTCAGCCCCCTTCCCACTGAAACTCTTGATCATATTGTAGTGTATTTGAAGTCATTAACTGTGTGCTTTTCAGCATCATTGGTTTTGTTAGCACTGCTGTGAAAATATTACACTTGGTATTGTGTTTGGAAGCTTTGAAACATGTTTGAGCTGATTAGTCTTGATCTTCTGATAAGGTATCAGTCAGATTTGTATCAGTATTTTGTGAGTTACTTGAGAGGCATCTCCATGACCTGAAGTGAACCATGGTTGTCTTGGAAAGTCTGAATCAGATGGAATTCCATCAAGTTGGATATTCTGTAGGTAGAAAAAGGAAAATTGATTAAAAGACATACAACAAAATGTTTACTATCTCTTTGAAAGAAATATTTCTTGTCGAATTTTGTCTCTTCATAGTAACAAGCATGTTACAGTATGGCAAGTCCTTGTTTTACCCTTATCCACTTAATAAACACTTTCTCCAAAATATGACATTGCTGATACTCTCAAGTATCTCTTGCATTTCTTCCTGTAAAAGTGACAGAATTCTGTTGCTGTCGTTGATTGCACTTCTAGAAGCTTTGGAGGAATCGGCTGCTATAAGAAGCATGTTGATACTCAAAATGTTAGTGGTTTGGAAAATCTTAAGTGAAAAGACTTTGCTGTTCAAAATCTCTTTGCTGTTTTGCAGCTTGAAAAGAGATTTTTGGCCATTGTAGCATTCTAAAAAATCATATATGTCTTCAGAGACATTTATCTTGTTGCCTGTGCTTGGAAAGCCTTATTTAATCTGAGTCATTTCAGTGTATCATTTCAGTCTGAAGTATTTCTCTTTCTATCTGCTGATGCTCTGTGGTTCCCATGCTGCTTTATGATAAGGGCAAAAGGAATGCCTGAATCCCTTTTAAGGGAAACCACGAGACTACTTCTGGAAGAGTCTTTGCAGTCAATTTGCTAGTACTCTACCAGTACAGAAGGCTTCTGAATGATGTTAAATGTTTCCACTGTGAGTTCCAAAAGAAAATTATGCATTGCAATTCCTGGGCAAAAG